AAAAAAAAAAAAAAAAAAAAAAAAAGTTATATCTGGTCCTTATTGGATAGAGAAGAAGTGTGGCCTTGAGCGTGTGCTGTCCAATATGGTGGCCACTATGCACATGTGGCTATTTAAATTATTCAAAATAAAATCAAAACTTCAGTTCCTCCATTGCATAAGCCACATTTCACATGCTCAGCAGACACCTGGGCTGGTGGCGACCGTGTTGGACCGAACAGATGGACATTCCATCACTACAGAACACGGCTGTGGAAGATCCATTTTGACTTTTGCCACAAATTCACTTTTTTTTTTTTTTTGGCGATACGTGGGCCTCTCACTGTTGTGGCCTCTCCCGTTGCGGAGCACAGGCTCTGGACGCGCAGGCTCAGCGGCCATGGCTCACGGGCCCAGCCGCTCCACGGCACGCGGGATCCTCCCGGACCGGGGCACGAACCCGCGTCCCCTGCATCGGCAGGCGGACTCTCAACCCCTGCGCCACCGGGGAAGCCCCACAAATTCACTTTTGTGTGACATGAGCTAGGTTCTGAGTTTTACTTTGGATTTCATCCCCTCAGGACTTCGTGAAGATCCACAGGGTGCTAAGCACTGTGCTTGGCACTGGGAATACAAACATAAAACGCCTCCTCTGCCTTCAAGGAGATCAGTTTAATGGGGCAGGCAGACGAGTAACAATTTCTATAGCACAGTGTGACGAGTGCCAAGATAGAGGCTGCTGGAGAGCCAGTGGATGGTGGGGGGCGGGGGGTGAAAAGACAGAGACGGAAGGACAGGAGGAAATATAATTCAAATTGGAGAGGGGTCCGGAAAGGCTTCCTACAGAAAAACCTAGGGCGCAGAATACGTAAACAGCTGACATGGGGACATTGGTATATAATCTGATAAAATTTGAAGAAGTCTGAACATTTCTGTTGTATATTATTTTAATAAGCCCACATCCTGTCTCACCATCTGGAGTTAGGGCTAGGTGTGACAGCAGCATAACGCACTTGCCCTTTAACAATAGAACTCATCCTTCCAAATCCCCAGCTGCCACTTCAAAACAGTCTTTCATCCAAAGGGTTAGAGCATTCTGCTTCTTTCAAAGGAAATATCACAGCTGTTCCCTGGCTCAGAAAGACAAGTGGGGTTAGAAGAATGATGCGGTTCAGTCCCAAATTCACCACTAGATCAAGGCTAAAGTTTCCCTCCAGTGTATCTCTCTCGTGGACTCCGTATACCCCATGCTGTGGGTCTAGTTTTAGAACAGCAGAGGAAACCAAGGACTCGAGAATTTGGGGGACCACTTCAGTGAATCATACTCTCTCAGCAGAAGCCCACGCTCTTAGGTTTTCAGCGGATGATTTTATTTGCGAGCATACAACTCTGGCTCCTGTAGAACTGAAGTCACCATATTGGTCATCGTCATTCCACGCGCACAGATAGAACTCTTACGGACCCTGCTGGCCACCGTGAGCAGAAGCTGGGTGAAATTTATAGGAAATAACCTGGGGGAAATGTATAGGAAATAATACAGCTGGAGGCAGAGCTTATTCCAGCATGGTTGACCAGTTACCCACACGGCAAAAATTGCATGTGTGGTGGATATCCAAGCATCTGTAAACGGATCACTCCCCACTGTACCTTCTATGTCAATCTAGAAGCCATCTCTCCCCACAGCATGTAACGTAACTGAACACTGGGCGATTTGGTCGTACGCCATACACTTAACCCAGAGGAACCAGAAGTGCTGCAAAAAGTTAGCAAGAAAAACCTAAATATGTTTCTAAAATATGCTATCAATACTGTTAGTTAGGATCCTCACATTAACAGCATTTCTGACCCGAAAAACGTGCAGGTATGTGTGCGGCAGAGGTGGCGGTGGAGGCTGACGGTGTGTTCAGGCTGGCCTCACAGGAGTACCACCTGCACAGGCCCACGGGGCCCTGTGCTTAGTATAATACTCCGATACTGCCGTCTGGACATGCTGAATAATTTCTCAACAAGGGTATCCGCATTTTCACTTTTGCACTGAGCCTACGAACTATGGAGCCAGTCCTGGGCGTACTTATGTGGGAGGAGGCAGGAGGGGTTCTTCCTACTTTGTATGGCCACAGTAGTATTGTTTCATTTCACAGTGTTAGACAGAAATACAACCCAGAAGGGCAGACATTGCCTTGCCTACCATATCCTCCTGAGTACAGCAACCATCATACTGTATCAAGGGACTGGCATGCGCTAGAATGACTGATTTCCCCTTTACTCTGAGAGGGAACAGAAATCACCCGCTGTACTACCAATAGCAGAGTCAACACTCCAAGTTCCCCTAAACCAGGGGTCGGCGAACTACAGCCTGTATTTTTGTAAATAAAGTTTTATTGGAACACAGCTCACACCCCCTTCATTTACAAATCGCCTGTGGCTATTTCTGCTCTACGATGACAGAGTTGGGCAGCTGTGACAGAGGGCACGTGGCTTACAAAGCCTGAAACATTTACTATTTACAGAAGAAGTCTGCAGACCCCTATCTGGAAGCACTGACATTCAGAGTGTGGTCCCAGGACCAGGAGCATCAGCGTCGCCTATGAACGTGGTAAAAATGCAGATTCTCGGGTCCCACCCTAGAACAACTGAAACAGAAAATCAGGGGGTGGGCGGTGGGGGTAGAGCCGGTCATCTGTGCTTTCGGGTGATTCTCACGTAGGCTCCAATCTGAGAACCACTGTCCTAAAGAATCATGCCAGCTCTACACTGGCAGCCCCGCCTGATATCTTTACCAGCCAAACTGTGCGACAGTAAACACCTAATGCCATGAAACGATTCCTGGCTTCTGGCCAAGATGGAGTATCAGGGACCTAATTTATCCTGCTGCCTGAAACCACAACCGAACTGAACAAAACCTATGAAACTTCAAGGTATTAGACATCAGGGTGTG